CTGGTAGACAAAGATACCTGTGGCCTTGTACCGCACAGACACTGGTACCTGATGGTTCAAAAGAAGCAGCAGCACAGAGTGTCCTTTCCAGAATTACAACTTTAAAAGACTTCATTACTGTATCCAGAGTGCTCTCTTTATACCCAAGAGCCTCATAAAGGCTTTGGTCCCGATGCAATCCCACACCAAAGAACTCCACAAAAAAAAACTTGATGCATGAATTTTCTTTCAGCAATTTAACATGAACTACCTTTCAGTTTAGCCAAGAATGAGAACAGTGGAAGAGAAGTGTTGGATTCACCTTCTCTAGTTCATTCAAGATTTTTGTATCCTGTGCTGTTTTCTTTTAAAATAAATACTCCAATGTTTTAATCTTATTTTACTCTCTACAGTCAGGAGTTTGATTAGGAAATGCACCAGCACTCTCTTGGCCCTAATTAAAGGGGGCATGTTATACAACAAGTAGATGGCAATGCCACAACATGAATTTGATCCAGCCTGCATCATTTGTTCATAACTTCTGTTCACAGAAATGAGACTACTACTTTCCTTCCACACCTCTGTCAGGCTCCCCATGGAAATTACTCTCTTCCACTCTCTTACAGAGCGCAAAACATACAACTTTGCTAATGAAAAATTGCTAGCAGAAGCAATGGGCACATCTCAGCCAACTAATCCATGGGATGTTCAGATCTGGAAACATAAACTTTCCTACCTAATAAGGGTGTGCTGATCTCCATCAGATTGATGCCAGGATGCCTTGGAGTGCAATCAATACAAAACAAATAAATAATTAATTGCTCCAAGTAATTAAGTTTATCAAATCCAAATAAAAATAACTGATATTTTATGGAGCTGCTTCCAAAGCTGAACCTCTGAAGGGACAGTATTGATCACAGGAGGACAGACAGATGTTTCACACGGTCAGAGCCGATGAGGTCTGGGTTTGCATTAATGACAGGGAAGGAACAGAGCCAACAGCCTCCAATGCAGAGTAAACAGTCAGCGTGCTTGGCCATTTAATTGTGGGTCAGATCAAATATGGAGAATAAACATGTCTAAACACATACATACAACCCCATCTTCCTCTAGAAATATCATTCACCTTGGTGCTGCAGTAAGCACTCAGTTCCCATTCCAAGAAAGCAAAACATAGAAGAGAACATTCCCCCAACAACCACAGTAAATTCTTACTCATAAATCAGTGCTAAAAAATGCTCAGCAGGCTAGTAAATATTTAAAAGCTGGTGAGTGTGAATATTTGAATCAATGGGTACTAAAGCTGTACTTGTAATTTTCCTTCCTCTACTTTTTTAATTGGACTGACTGGCAAACTGTCTACAAGATCCCAATTAGCTGATGGAACCAGGCTGCTGGCTGGAAGCCTTTTTTGAGGGGAGGTGGCCAGCTTGGAATGACAGAACTGGAGCATCCCTCAGTCCTTTCTGCAGACTGGGAGCTCTACAAACTCCTGTTCACCCTGGAGTTTTGTTTTGTTTCCAGATGAGACATCACTCAATCGATTCTCTTCCATTCTTTTGTTTCCAAATCCATGACAAGAGAGCAAGGACACAGACATACACCTCAACATGCAGGAGTGGAGACAAACATCCACCCTTTTCCATCCATCATCTTCTTAAAAGCACGGCTGCAGCAATCAACAGCTTTAACAGAATCATAACTTAAAATTTCCACATAAGACAGAGAGAAGATGAACAACTTAAAATACATGGATGTTAAATATGCCAAAGCCAACACAATGAAGTCAAAGACAAAGGTTAAACTTAAAAGAAAGCTGAACATAGCAAGGTACAGAAACACTGTGGTGAATTCAAAGCAAACTCAGTTCTGCTCTACAAAAGCAACACCATGCCTAGATCACAAACATGTGGTTATTGTTGGTTTGTCTGGGTCCTGGAAAAGATTCAAGTTCAACAGCTCCCATTTTCCTTTCCTTCAGGCAGATGCTCAGCAAAGCTTTCCTTCCTCATAGCTCTCTGCTTTCCCTTTAGTTTCTTCCTCTCCTTTCCCTGTACAAATTCCCTACCCATCTCTCATTTCCTCTGGCTTTTTGGCTGTGTGCCCTCCCCGCTGAGCAGATCCGGTATAACAGGAAGTTTTCCAGAAGTAATGCTTAGGATTAATAATACATTTCTGCTGTTACTTTCATAAGTTTTACTAACAGCAAAGGCAAAGGTCTAAAATTCCTTTTGAAGAAACTCATGAAAGGCTTACCCCCTTCCTAAACATCTACTACTGTCTCCTGCTCTCCGTAGCACCAAGACAATGCACTGTCTTGATTTAAGACAGAGCTTTTCATAATGCCCAGCTTCTTACTGCCTTAAAGAAACTTGCAGTCTGTGCTGTCAGGAGGCAGAGGGGAAATCCCATGCAGAGCAAGGGCACAGGGGCTGTGGCCTTCTTTGGCTGTGGCCACAGTCCCATGGAGAACAATGGGAGACTGAAACCATTGTGATAGAAGGCAGCTTGTCAAACTGAACTCACTGGAGATTACTCTTCAGCATCTGCTGAAGGAGAAACTTTCAGTTATGGAGAATAATAGCCCTAAATGGCCATTAATCCTGGAGGGCGGAGGGAAAGATCTTCAAATTCAGACTATGCATAAGATTTTGTAAGCTTTAACAACAGGGAGAATTTGAAAAGCCTGTGCTATTGTCATAAAAACTACTAGGAACAAATCAAGTTGAATACAGAATGCAGTTGAATACAGTCCTTTTCTTCAAGGACTCATTTCTACAAATTAATTTTAACTCAAGTTTTCAGCCTAATTGTAAATCCTTCAGGGGAAAAAATCTCTAATCAAAGAGTTAAGTGCTATTATCCTGGGGATAATATGGTACATTTTTCACACATGACAAGAGGTTGAGTCCCTGATCTCGGTGCAAAATCCAACTTTGCCTAACTAAGAAGGCGTAAAGCACAGTAGTAAAGTACAAAATAAAAGAGGACAATAGAAGGGTGAGGACCCTTTAGGTCCTCAGGCAAAAGAACTTACTGCAGGGTGTCACAAGCCTTTAGAAATCATTTTCCAATGTGCTCAGGGCAAAACATCTTATGCTAGATGTTGCCAGAGTACAAGTTTCCAGAACAGCATTCCAATTCCTTGCTTAGTCCTAATCAGCTCCTGCCCTTATCAATTCCATACCACTGGTGTGTAGAGGGTTTGACATATAAATCCACCAGCAAAATAATTTGGATTAGCATGGATTGCCAGCTGTACCACTTAGCACTTCAGCACCTCTTACCAATTCAAAAGGCCCATACTGACCTCATATGATTAATTTCCCCCCCCCCCCCCCCCGTCACCCACATGTGAAGAAAGTGAGTCTATTAGCTCCTGTTTTAAGAACAGGGAAGACTTGAATAAGGAAGCCAGGTGACTGGCTAAAAGCAATAAATGAATTCATTTGCTGGGCTGGAGGCAGGTTTCACATTTCCAAGCAACAAAGTGTTGTTTTTTTTCACCTGGATCAGTGATTTGCAATCTTTTTCAATTCGCAAAACACTGGTACTTCTAATAACAGCATTTATATCCTTAAAAATTTCAAGCAGAGCATAGAAAGTTGCTCTAGGTTATCCCAGGAGTTTAGGTACCACAGTCTGAAAGTTGCTGAATCAGGATGCCATGCCTCAGCTTATCACTGCATTTTGCAGGCATTGAAGAGAACAGGGAGTAGCATGCAACACCCATTTTCACAAATGGCTGGGATGTGAATTGCCCATTTGGCAAACGAAAAGGCTGCTGGCTCTGCCAGATGGTTCCATCACAGATAGGTTCTCTCACTGCTCTCAGCTTCTCTTCCAGAGGGGGTAAAAATACCAGAAAAGATCAACCACTACTTATCAGTTTTCAAAATCCCAAATCAATCTCTATAAATTATTCTATTTATCTTAGTGCAGGAGAATGTATTTGCCATGTCTCCATAAATCTCAACACATGCACTGCAGTCTTTCATGTCACTTGCCTCTGACTTCCTCAAGGCTGTAGCCCCTCACTCAAACAGGTAGCCTGCAGATGGTGGCGCCTGTACACTAAGGGGGTCCCCCAGGAGGGACCTTGCTGAGGCACATCTCTTCTAATGTACGCATGCACCCATAAGGTGAAGCAGCATGATCCCAAACACATTCCTAATAACAGCCCCAGGGCGTTCCCAGCAAGATCTGAAACTATTCTGACATCAAAAGTACACCCCATAAAACAGTCTTTAAAAGCGACCTAGAAAATTACTATGCCAACTGAATGTGCTGGGCAAGGAACCTACTTCTCCACCTTTGCTACAATAAAGCAACTAAGGATTATTTTATTTGGCTAGGGAAATTAAAAAATAGTAAAAATAAATACTTGTCCTGGGCAAACAGGATTTGGTTATCAAAACCCCTCTAAAAACATCCAGCCAGCCACGCAGGTTTAACATACTCAGTATCCCAAACCCGGTCGCTAAGAGACAGGCATCTACATTTATCTTACTGATGAAACAACAAGAAAGTTATTTCCCAGGGATATCTGTGCAGCAGAATGAACAAAGGGGCTTTTTCCCGAAATATTTTCTGAAGATAATGGAAACAGGAAGCCAAAAATTGTGTTCATGTGTCTCCTTTTTTTCCAGACACAACCTGAACATCCAGTTCTTAAAAGCACCTCTCGCCTATTAAGACATGTGCTCTATGAGGCTTATTACATTTAGCTATGAGCTCTGCTGGACTAGACAGCTCCATTTGGGTCTGTCACATGTCTAACCACAGAGCAGGAACACCAGTAACAAACACCAGCAAGCTCAGGTGCCCCTTCAAGGCAATGAGCTGGCTTCCCCACAGCCTGCATTCCAGGTTTCTGAGACTCCAAATTTATGGAATTCCTTTCTTATTTTAGAGGCAAGAACTTGACTTTCTGTAGCTATAAAAGGAGAACAGATGAGGAGACAGACAGGCAGACTGAAAAACATTAACCAAGGTCCCAAGGGACCAGGACAACAGCCTACCCTCTGGCTTCGTAGTGTGACACCTGCAGATTTGAAGTCAGGAAACTTGATGCCAGCAGTCTCAGGAACAGCCTGAAAGAGATGGAAACAGGATGTCTTGATGGAGGAAACACAAAATTTCATACAGACTATCTGAAGGGGAAACATTGTTTCCTATGACAGAGAAGCACCTGCCATGGCTACATGTCACAGCTGAGGCAAGAGGAAAATCCCAAGCAATGGGGTTCAGTGGGAAAATCCCAAGGAATTCACTGAGAAAAAATACTCCAAGGTATCTTTGGAAAGCTCAAGCATTTTTATTGGGCTGGTTTAAAGGCACTGCTCTACACAGACCTCAAACCCATCCCCACAAGCATAAACCGTAAACGCTACTCTTTACACTAACTCATGCATATTTGCACAATATCATCCTTATCTAACTCAGGCCCATGTCACTGATCAAAACAGCTCAGGACTTCCCCAAATCATGCCTTTTGACTGAAAGTCCTCTAAGGAACGAGCTGAGAAACCTCTGATCTGTACAGACATGAGCCCACTAATGAGGATGTAAGGACTGCACCTCTCCAGGGAGGCCTGCAGTTCATACACCTTTAACCATTTGTCCACTCGTTAGACAGTTTTCTTTCTTCTCCACTAAACATTTATGCATAGCAGTACAAGGCAGCAAACTTCTAATGCTGCTGCTGCTAGACAGTAGAGCATTTAGTTGCATTTCAACAAAATGGAGAAAAACATAAACCAAATTCCTTAAAAATCTGTGCTGCTGAGCAAAGCACAAGGTGAACAAACTTCTAAATGATTAGAGCAGTCTGTCTGCAGGGGCCTGTCCACTGAATGGTGTGGGGTCCCCTGAATGGGTCAGCGATACCCATGATTCAATCTAAGAATACCCCCAGTCTTTGCAAAACATATGTTCAATCACACTCTTCCAAAAGGAAGAGTCACCTCAAATCTCACAATTTCTTTGGAGACAGTGCTTGCCTTGCTGCTCCCACATTTCTCTGCAGAGAGGCTTTGTTCATTACAGACAGTGCTGAGACAACCAGGGCTGCCCCAAGATCACAAGAGATGCTGAAGGACAGTGACTCAATTCCTCAAGTTCCCTGCCAATTACTCTCACATCTCTATCAGCTATCTCTGTGTCTTGGTCTTGAGGTGGCACTTTGCAAAGTGCTTTGCGTGGCCAGGCATTAAGGATCTTCTTCAGTTATCTGTGGTCAGTCCAATAAACAGAAGCTTCAGGAAGAGCCTCCTAGACACGACCAAGGTGGAAAAAATATTCCGTAACTACCAGCAGGGTTCATGAATTTGTAGGGATCACTCTGATCTTTGGTAGGATTGTAGCCTCCCTGCTTGGATTATTAGACGCAAAGGCAGCTGCAATCAAAAATCAATCCTCTCTGCTTCCTTTGGATGAAGGCTGGCTTTCAGACTCCCCGAACTCTGCCCCCCCAGCCTGTTGCTGAACACCCTGACACAAGCAGTGAGGGTAAATCAGCATTGTTGGCTTAGCCAAGACGTCTCTGACTGCACTCAGCGCATAAGCAATTAAATGGGTTCTTTTGCCTTGCGTGCCTGTACATGCTGTAAACGCTTCAACCTCAATTGACTCTTTGGTAAATGATTTTCCTTTGTTGAAATGATGCTGATGCAGCTCCCGATTCAAATTCTTAGTTAAAATGCAATTTTTTTCCTAACATTTCCCAGCTATAGTTGGTAATTGACTCCTAATGGACTCTGTCATGGTTGAAATGATGCTAGTGCAACAACAGAAACTGCTTCTCTGCCCACCCTGGCGTTTCTATCCACTATATGCCTGCAGACAGGCACCAGCCAGCATTTAGGGCTGGACTCCCTCACCCTAGTATCCTCAGCATCTTTCCAGCCCCATTCTCCATCACCACCCTTTCTTCATTACCACCACCAATACGCTGCTTTCTTCAGAGGGGTATACACCAGCCACGGTTGAGCTTTACCATATCAACCCTCAAGGGAATTCAATGCACAAGGTGCCCAGTGATATTACATAACTACACTTAGGGGCAGGGGGGAACCAAAACAATGCTTTGAGGAAGTGGTGTCCATTAGGAACCCTTCATCAAACAATAACTGTCTCGTATTCTCTGCTTCCCTCCCCACTATGCACAGACCGTTTTGGAGGACAATGACACAAGTGCTCTCTGTTCACAGTATGGAGGGACAGGAATTCCCATGGACCCATTGGAAATATCTGAGATTTTTTAACAGCCCTTTTCTACTGAAGGGCTGAATTTGTTCAGTCCATACTGTCCTCTCTCCAGAAAAGGAAACTGAGGTTAACATCAATTGTGAATTAAAAGCTATATTCTGGGCTCCTTAGACTTTAGGTCAGCTGAAGGAGAAATAAGAAGCAATAACTACCAAAATACAACAGTCCCAAAGCAGGGCTGCTCTGATCAAAGCTGAGGATCAGGAGAGAGGCATGTGGTGAGCTTGGGAGACACTGCTGAGACCCAGAAGTGGGAAAGGAAAGGGAAACACGGACTAGAAAAAGAACGCAGGTGAAAGACAATGGGTTGATGGGACAACCCTGCACAGCAGTACCAGAATACACTTGGGAGAAGGAGGGAGACAGATATTTCTCCCTGCCATGAGGCATGAATGGCTGGAAACATTTCATCCCATTTTTCAGAGAGGGAAAGGGAAACAGGATTTAAACGAGCATTTTTCAAATGGGAGAGAGACAAGAGTACACACCAGAGGACTCTGACAATGGCTGCCTCAGACCAATCTGCCTTCAAAAGACATAACAAAAAAAGCATCTGCCAGAAGGCAGCCAGCAGCTACTCCCCCTAAAAGAGCTGAGGGCTTGATCCCAGTAGGGCTGCTGAAGGAAAACGTTGCCCAGCCAAAGCATAAGCAGGGAAAAGGGGAAAAGAGGAAAAAGAAAAAGAAAAGAAAAAAAAAAGAAAAAAGGAGAAATGTTTACAGGCTTTTCTGTCTCCTTCTTCTGTGGCAGCTTCTTCTTGGGAGCCTTGCGCTCGGCTCGCCTCTGCTCAGTGGTGGTGTCAGCAGCTGTGATGAGCTTCTGGAGGTCTTGAGTTCTCTTCTCCCTCTCTTTCTTCCTGGTTTCGATTTTGCGGAGCTCCTGGATGAGGTATTCTTCTTCTGCCACCTGCAGACCAGAGCACGTAAACGCAATCAGAGCAGCAGAGGAGGCCCAGCAAGGTAAGGGGGCCATCTACCGATAACAGCTCAGCTCTGGGCCAGCCTGGGTATTACAATGTTCCCCTGCCTAATGTCTTGGATTTGCAGAGCACATAATGCTCCATAGCCCTCCCCTGCGTCCATGGTAGTATCACGCTACAAACTGGCAGGTACTGTATGACAATATCCAGGATGTACACTTCAGCAGCATCCAGAAATGATTACTCTCATCTCCAGACAAAGAGACCAAGAGCACAGATAGAAGGGTAAAAATGCTCAAATACACTGTAGTTGTAACTGGAGTGTTGTGAAAAGCTGGCTCCCCTTCCCAGACCTAGCATGTAGAACCTAGAGCAGCTATGCCTAATATCAGCACACCTATCAACATGGGAAGGACTTCAGAGTTGTCACACATACAAAGTTCTCATTAAGACAGACGTACTAACAGAAGAAGATGCTCTCCCCCAGCCTTTGAGGAACACACAGTTCCTTAACTTCTAATAGGACCATTACACATCTTCAACAAACAGGAGAACTAAACATGTAGATTTACAACCTCTGATGCTTTCTGGTAAGATTTTTACTCTCAATGGAAGTAATCCTCCTCCCATGGGACTCAGGGATTCAAAAGGACATTGATCTGCAAACTTAATTCTATTCAGAGAACTAATACAGTGTTACAGAGAAGATGCTGGCAGTTACCAGAGACCATAACCCTCATCCTCACCATAACCCTCTCCCCTGTATAGTCAGATCTCTCAGTTACTGTCTTTTTGCATCCCATAAAATTACGCAAACCCAACAACAAAGTTGTTCCTTTCTTGTCCATTCTTTCCCTTTCCCACACTACTTCATCTACCTACTGATTCAACTTAAGTTTCTTGAGCAGTGATGCTCTCCTTCCCAAGTTACCTGCTCTGGTGTCCGATTGTACAGCCTTTCCAGTTGTTCTTTCCTTCGCCTCTCATGGCCAGCATCAAAGACTGGGATTTTCAGGTCCGTGCCTGGAGCCGCACGAATATTAGCCAGCTTGGCACAGATGTGATAGTATCGTTCCTTCAGGTCCTCCACTGATCTTTTCTGTGGAAGACATCACAGGAGGACAATATTATGGAAGAACCAAGCAAAGCCTTGTGCAGTAGCCAGCTGAGGACCCCTGGCTGAAAGATATCAGGTAGGGTAAAGATAGTGCCTGGAAGGAAGACCAGAAGGGAGCCTGGCCAGTCCCAGTGGAACAACCACATGGAAGGGGAGAGTTTCTCAGTCCTCTGAACTGCTCCAGACAATGGCCATTCAAGCCATAACCAAGAAGGTATCAGCTGCCACAACTCTTTGCCCATTGATACATGGAATCTAAGCTGTGTTCCCTCACTCCAAGCACCAAAGGTGTTTGGGCTGCTCAGCTGGGCAAACTCTTGTTATTTGACTTTGCTACGGCTCCCCACATGAGCATTTCAGAGGGCACCAAAAAGTTCAAGCATTTGGAGCTGTTCCATAGGAGTCACATCATTCCCTCCTGCCACCAGGAGACATGGAACCAGCAACTGCAGGAGATTTAAGACCATGAAACCAGTGCTGCATCTTCAGACCACTGATGGTCCCTGCTTCACAGGAGAGATGACAGAAACATGCACCAGGTCAGGAGCAGCACCAGGAAATATCACAATCCCTGGGGACCACTAGCAGATCCTTCTCCCAGGACTTAGCCTGTAATCTAGGACACCTATCCTGCTCAGCTAAACAATCTCCAGAGCTGCCTCACCTTCAAGGAATAATGAGTTATTCTCCTGGCAGGGCAAACCTTCTAACTTTCTAATAAAACACAACAGGGAATGAGCACAAGTCACAGTGGATTTAATTACAAACAAAGCAAGCAGCAATGCCCTGTGCTGGAAATTCAATATTCCCTGCTGCCAATAATTCATTATTTCTCCCTAATTAAGTTGATATAAAGGGTAATTTGGTCTTTGCAGTGCAGCAAGCCCTCCACGTGCCATCGCAGCAGGTTGCTAGCAGCACCTTGGCCCCAGGGACTCACCTTGAACTGCTGGTGATCGTAGCGGTCGTGAATCACTACGAAGCGCAGATCGAAACGCCGAGCCAGGTCAAAGAGGTGGTCTGTCTCAGCTTTGGTCCACGCATCATCATGGAGATACATCTGGTATTCCTGCTCTGAGTAGACAGGTACCTGCACTGCCTATGCAGAGAAAATTAAAAGATGGTAGCTCTCTTGCAGCTCTTTTCACTGCCAGCTGGTAAGGGCCGAGATACTTGAGCCAAGAACAAGAGGACGGCATTGACAGGACAGGGCTGCCAGGACCCCGAGCAATGGGTCCTGGTAGGAAACATGACAAGCAGGCAGAGGACTTGATAAGGAGCAATGTGTGATCTCAGGGCCACAAACAACATTCTGGGAAGCCTATCAGGAACTACTGCCTGGGAGGCTGAAACCTATTTCAGGTGGCTGACACAGGCAGAGGGCAGCAACCCACATCCTGACTATAGGTTTCAAACTTATCAGGCTAACATGACAGTGAACCAAAGGTTCAGCCAGCCTCTCTGCATTCCTCCCATATAGCAGCACCAACACCTTAACATAAACTGCTTTGACAGCCAACTCTACTTGGTCTGGGACATGCTTACTTATACAGGAAGAACAGGAAAGGCAAGGAGCAGTAGTTCCTAGCCTTTAGAACACCTTCTGCTTTGATACACAACCCATTTCTTTCATGTTTGGTGCAGACAGCGCCACAAAGATCTGAAAGGCTGGGTACTGTACAACTGAGGGCCATAAACTTGGCAAACAACTTTGTCCCTCCTTTCTTCATCCACCCTTTCTCCAGCAGAACCACAGGGCCAAAAGACAGTTCAGCTCTCACGAATGTCCCAGGTGTCTAAAAGGCCAAACCCACACCACTGTCCCAACCTTGGAATTGCTTTGCAAGGACCCTATCCAGAACACAGGAGTCACAAGTACTAAAGCCACAATAAAAATACTTACTGTATATGGGGAAGTCCTAGCACATGGTAAAGCAAAAGTACCACCAAGCCTCTGCTTTCCTCCCTTTCACCCTCCCACCATCCTGCAGAGGAACTGTGCTCAGCCTGAGGAGGTCCTGCTTCCACCAGAAAACACTGCAAATGTGAGCAGCATACATGTCAACAACACTATGCCCCCTGAGTCCTACACCAGAAAAGTCCTCCTCATGAACGCCATACAGCTCGGAGGAGAATTTCTGAGCCTCTTTAGGTCTCCTGCCTTTCTTCCATCACTTAGACACAGAAACTTAGATGTGAAGCATATCTCTTGGGGAGGCACTGCACCTCAACCTTCCAGTACCACTTCGACCAGGCGAAAAGCCCCCACTAGACACCATAAGGATGTCCTATGTACATCATGAAAAACAGAATTATTTTCTAGAGTAGCATATACACATGAAAAGAGCTATCAGGGAAGGTGGCAGGTGCCTGATCAGAGGACAGAATGGGACAAGAGCAGACAGACACTTCCAAAACACTTCCTCAGCCCCAGTCATGAGAACTGAGAACGTAGGAAATCATCAGATGGAAAGTTTGAGACAAACATGAGATGACTGCAAGTTCAAATGCAATGTAGCCATGAAAATGCAAGTATGATCCCCGGAAAGGGATTTCCAGCAGAAGCTGGCAAGGTTTCACTTGCACAAGACCTTGGTAGGAATGCCAACCACAACTCTACCGACCCCTTTTTGGAAAAGATGAACTGAAATGGGAACAAGTATCCATTTCAGGGCACCAAGGATGAGTAATGGGGTGGGGAGCTTGTCTTCCAACAGCAGACTGGAAGAGAAAGGAGCCTGGCAAAGGAAGCCTGAAAGGGAATCTGACTGCAGGCTTCAAGTATGCTAGAGGGAATGAAAGGAATACCCACAGGAAGAAAAGAACAACTGAAACAAGAACAAAGAAATTGGTTTGCAAGGAAATGCCAATTTAACATGGAAAATTTAACCTAGAAATAAGAAACGGAGCACAGACAGTCTGGAACAGCTTCCCAAGGCAGCAGAGGGGCAAGAAAATCCAAGTGCTTTTCAAAAGTAACTTGATCGGTTTATGAAAGGGAATGGATGGTGCCGGACCTGAAAGAGCCAAGAGGAAGATTCAATGGCTCAGAAAACCCTTCTCAGTCCTGTATTTCACACTATAAACTCAAACAATGATGGGCATTAAATTAGCTGAAACTGCTCAGGGAAAATCCTGGAGCCATGAGACAGTTCTGAGAAAGCATTAGCACAATGCCTTGCAGTGCTGAAAAGACAAACTGAATAGTAAAAATGATCAGGGAAACAAAGAGAAACACAGCCAATGTACAAACCCACTATGCTGCCCTAAGTGAAACACTCACTCCTAGTCCACCCGTTTCAAAGGAAAAGGTATTTGAGAACAGGGTGAGACAGGGCACAGAAGGGCAGATGTATGTCACATTACACAGAAAACAGCGCACAGCAAGGACAATTTATTACGTCATGTAACACAAGATCTCAGAGGCACCAAATGAAACCTCAAGGCAGCAGTTTAAAATGAACAGAAGCAATACCTCTGCACACCATGCAAAGTTAACCTGAAGAATTCGTTATCACGGGGTATTCACAGAGCAGCTTTCTGCCCAGAACCTAGCAAGAATTATTGAACACAAATTCCAAATTAAGAAATCCTTAAACCAATGACCACCAGAAGCTAGGAAAAAATGCTCTGTATTTTCCCCATTCTCATCCTCTTTAAGTCTTTACTAATGGTAGCTAGAAACAGAATATCAGCCGAGACAGGCCTTTGCTCTGGCACCAATGAAGCTGCTTTTATATTCCTATTTCACACCCTTGATCAAAGCTTAGTGTACACTGTGAAACATAAGTTTACATTTTGGATCTCACAATGAACAGAAGGGATTTGGTTTGGAGACTGGAAGCACAGAGAAAAGGCAAAGGAACTGAGTTTGAGGGACCAGTAGGACAGACTACACGGGAAAATGGATTATGCGAAGAGGAGTAAGAAATTTGGGCAGAAGTATCAAGTATGCGAGAAGGAACCCACAGAAGAGTTTAGAAAAGTAAATAAAATTCCTCTGACATAGCAAATATCTGCAAAACTTCTCATCAGTGCCTTCTACCCTCTTAACCATGGATCCACAAGGGTAACAACTTGCTCCTAATATTATGCGATTGGGCACGTGCAGATGGCAGAGGTCTACCACTAATCTAAAGGTTGCAGCCTTGCTGAAGGCTCTTCTGCCTGTCAATTCACAGTACATGATAAAGTTAAGGAAACAAGAATCATATAATTACAACCCATGTGTGGCTCCCTTTGATAAACTTAGTTGAACTCAGCCAAAAGCAGTTACAGCAGTAGAGTCTTAGAGACAATTACACCCCCGAAGTTTTCCTCAGAAAGCCAGGCAGGTGCCTTGACTGAGTCATGCTTCAGACTTCTACCATAGACACCCTAGAGAAGAGATATGACACGAGGCTCTTACCAACATCCCAGCAAGAGGAAAAGCATTGGTCAGACCTTAAGCCTTCTAACACACAAGGTTAATCAACCACTTAACTCTGCAGGAAGCCAGGCTTTGACAGAACTGATGCTCTGTGGGTTACAAACTTTAAATGTTGCATAGGCAAGTAGAGCTTTTGTGGAAATCATGTTAGCACACACTTTTTTTTTCCCCCTTCAGATTTGCATCATGAAGGGAATTAAATTATGTTAGGAAGGCACCCTAACTCTGCTCCTTCCTAACTTTGGAGGCCCTGACTTTGAAGTATAAATCTTGATGTAGTTTTCTTTGTGCATACACATGAAAGCCCCAGCCACTCAAAGCAGATACATCTGGGACAAAAGACACCAGGAGATTACAACAACACATTGTGACAATTTAATGTAAGACGCAAAGAACAAGGTACTGCACCACACTGATACCACAGGAGCAATTTCAGAGGGAGCACAACGTAATTCAGTATCTGAGCTGGAATCTGGCCAAGAGGCTGCAAACCAGCTTTTCTGCCACAAAGCTCTAGCGATTTTTTTCACACTGGGCAAAATAACAAGACTTATGACTTTAATGTTTGTCTCAGAATAGAGTATCTTTTACCACCCGGAGCCTGTAATCAGGGGAAGGATGTTGGTTAGGAACGGAATGAGATGGCAGAGTGCCTCCTTACCAAATCAATAACAAGATTTGATAAGGAGCACCTGAAACACAGGAGACTCTAGCAAGCTCTGACCACATACCGATCCCACATAGTTTGAATGATTTGGAGACATCATAGTCTGTGGTCACGTGGCTGTAAGGCCATTCTGCAATTTAAAATGTGATTGCCAAATGTAACAGCCTCCACTTGTTCAAAGGACCAACTTCCTGTCTGGATGCTCAAGCAGCTGACAAAAGGGTATTTTCCAGCTGCTATTTATATGCTTTTGCTCGAAAGTGCTCCCACTTACTTTATTGAACCTGGCAAAAGGGTAGTCCTTTCCTTCCTCTGCTGCTCTCCTCCAGTGGTAGAACATTGCTCCATCTTTTCTTGCTGGGTTGGTGAAAGGCATCCACTTCCAAGGCCGGACTTTCTTGGATCCCAGTTTTGCTTTGACTGTTCGATAACCCTGAGTTGTATCACTTGGCAGCAGCGGAGGTGCATCCCTGTGGTGGAGAAAAGCACTGCGTGACAAAAGCAAACAGCAGCCAACGACAAACCCAAAGAGATTTCAGACTCAGTGGGATCTGCCACCAAAATGTTTAGGGTGGGAAAACCTGAGATTAAGCTTTATTCAGGTCCTGCACCTCCCAGACTGCAATGCCTCCAGCATCAGAGGACAGAATACACTGCCTAGATGGATTTGGACAGAGCCATCAAACTATGCAAGAGACCTCTAAGGCAAGGGTTCAATCATACAAGCTAAATATAGGCTGCAGCGGAACTCTTTCTGCAGAAATAAAAGCAGGTGCTATTCCCAGTTGCAAATAAAGAGAATTAGACACAGAAGGGTAAGAATACTGCCTTGTCTGCTCCAAATTATTGTGCCTTTGCCCAATTCATCTCCTAGACAGAGCAAACCCCTCAGACTTAGAAGAGAGAAGATAGGCACTGCTCATGACCAAGAGAGAAGGGCACAAGCATGGCCAAGCACAAAGGTGAATCAATGTGGGAAGCAAGCCTGCCCATGGTTTCAATAGGATGCTGCCCTGCTTCCAAAAGCCCAGGCTACACCACAACCTACCCAGATGACCATAAGCTCTTACTTTTTGTCAGAGTAGAGGAGTGCATAAACTTCTCTGTGCATTCCTTCCGGCCTCTTAAACGTCAATGTCTCTGAAGATTTCTTGGATTTTTTCTGAAACAAAAGAATTGCATTTTAGATTCAGAAGCAGCAGTGCCTGAAGGAACATTAAACTACATAAACTGGTACCCTGCGATGGTTTTCATTTTTATGTGGTTTTAGACACCTTGAATTTCTTTCTGGTGGAAGACACTGGCAGTGAAAACATGCCCATTTTCAGTGACAGCACTCACCAGTACTCAGACACTTGTTGCTGACAACACACACTTAAATTCCAAGTTGAACACCTGGCTGTAGTTTTCAGGGCTGGTATACTGAGCTTTTTTTTACTAGGTAAGCACTCTCCTCACATGAAAGTATTAATGCAATGTCGTGGTTTAACCCCAGCTGGCAAATAAGTACCACACAGCCGCTCACTCGCTCCCACACACACAGTGGGATGGGGAGAAGAATCAAGAAAAAAAGTAAAACCCGTGGGTAGAAATAAGAACAGATTAATAATCAAAGTATAACAGAATACTAGTAACAGTAATGAAAAGGAAAATATGAGAAAGAGAGAGAGAAAGAGAGAGTAAAAAAAACTAAAGCCAAAACCAAACAGTGATGCATAATACGATTTCTCACCACCTGCTGACTTATGTCCAGCCCACTCACAAGCAGTGAACAGCCCGTCCTGGCCAACTGCCCCCATTTCCTGTACTGAGCATGATGTTCTGGAGTATGGAATACCCCTCTGGCTAGTTTGGGTCAGGTGTCCTGTCTCTGCTCCCTTCCAGCTCCTTGTGCCCCTCCTCAGTGGGGAGCACAAGAAACTGAAAAGTCCTTAACTTAGGGTAAGCATTACATAGTAACTAAAACATTGGTGTATTATCAACATTATTCTCAGACTAAAGCCAAAACACAGCTACTAGGAAGAAATACATTTAACTAAGTAATGATGAAAATAAGAAATGAATGTAAGTAAAGATGAAAATAAGAAATGTCTTCCCACCTTCTTTTAGTCTTTTGGTCACTTTGTTCTGCAGCAACTCCAGTTTTGCCAGCTGAGACCAAACCCTTGCAGTAGCACCATGTCAAAACTACCAGTACCACCTAGAAAAACAAACCCTCATCCCCACCTTTACACTCCCATTTATACAGCAAAGAACTATATTCATTTTTATATAATTCCTAGTATGAAGAAACTCAGTTTTGAAAACTCAATCTGGCCCCTTGTCAGAACTAATGGTTTCTAAGACATAGTCCACCTGATATCACATATAGAAGTTTATAAAGTAATTTGGTTTAGATTCAGGTAGATACAGTAGCAGTCACATTAACAACGTACACTTGATATACATGGATGAATTTACTGAGTAGTCCAGAGCATCTGGTCTAACTGTACCATCTTTGTAACTACTAGCCACATCACTACTTTAAAATACCTGTTTATCACATTACTACCGACTTTTAAATCACAATACTTTGTAATAGCAAAACCAACACTCTATCATAAATAGTATTAAATCCATACATTCACCTTTATCAGGCAAATTCAAAATCCCAATAAAAAATAATAACCTATCAACTTGGACTACAACCCTTTCCATAAAATATCATGACAGACATTTACTGTATTGGCACCTTTTCACTCCTAATCAAACACCTTTCTCCCAGCATGTCCATCACTGCCCAGGAGCAATGTAAGGCCAACCGAGGCAGTTACACATGGGTCATCACACACCCTGTTTGAACACAAGCTTCTGGAACTCCCACAAAGTTCCCAGATTTATTAGAAGTTAATATCAGCAGGCCAGAGATCAGCTCAGACAGCTCTTTTAGAAGCTGAGAACAAATTACTTGGTCCTGCCTGATTTAAATGTTTTTATGCCCAGTAATTTTTATTTTAACATTCTCAGTCACTAATGGACTGGGAAGTACTTCATGGTTCTCTTGTGATTTAAAGACGTCAATCTGTTTCTTTTCTAATTGAGTACAGATTTATTTCCTGAGCAAGTGCTGCACTGTTAATAGCAATTTTGCTCTCTCCGCACAATAATGACTTATACCTTTGGTTTGATTTAATTTCTGTGCTGAAATTCAGAACGTTTCACCCACAGCCACAAGTGGCCTCCTGCACTCCTCCAGAAGCCTCTCACTGCACCTCTCCTTCCTCTCTCTTTCCATTACAGTAAATCTGTGGAGAAGTCCCTCTTACTCTCTGCTCCAAAAGAGAGACAGGCAGCCATCAGTACTCCTCCAGGTCTCTGCTAGCTAACAGATAAACACATCTAAATCAAAGAACTTACAACTCTGAACACTCACTGGCACAACATCACAGGCTGAATCCAGCCACACACTGGACACACTATTCACCAATTCAGCTGATAACTGGTGATTTTAACATTTCAGCCTCTAAATTACTGAAACTCATCAGTTTTCCATTACAGCAATTATACTGTGTCCTAGCCCCAGCATGGGACCCATGAAATCACTGTGCCTCTCTTCAGAGACAAACATTTCAGCAGACACAGTCAGGAAGTACTTTTAGGGATGGAGTGGTTGCGCATGTTTAGTTTGGGTTTGGGTTTTTTCACACACAAATGCAAATCACACCATCTCTGTACCAGAGTTCTTGGGGATTTCATCTCCCCCAACTCGTTTCCAAGCACCTCCATATCTCATAACTACTCATTAATTGACACCATTGACACCTTACAAGCCAAGACTTTGCCCAAATTATACAAAAATACAGAAGACAACAACATAACGTGGCATATCGCCACATAGAACACAGCATGTGAAGTCATATATCCTTAACAGAGCTTACTAACTTGCACACATTCCCACAGGCAACACGTCCCAGTTCTCCCAAACCCCAGCCACACACCTTCCCTGCAGAAGGACTGCTCCCATGGTTTGAAGACATTTACCATTCAATCAAGTCAGATAAGTTTTTTCCTTCTAAAACAGGACTGTGTGATATTATTTCCATCTGCTTGTGGGCTAAATAGTAAACACACTTCTCACTCCACAAAATAGGGATTTTCAAGACAGCTGAAAACGCCCTCGGGCCAGGCCCAGCTCACCAAGACACCACTTACACAGCTCCAGCTCAAATACCACCCCAAATGCCACAGCGCAGTTTAACTAAGAACACCAGGAACTGGGCCCTCCAGGCATTTCCAGATATTTCTAGGAAGCCTGGAATTAAACAGGCTATGGTAGGAACATGCTTTATTCCATCTTTTTCCAATATCTGCCCCAGACACCACATGCACGGTCAGTCAGTGTCAAGAAAACAAGCAGCAGCCCCTTAGGGCCTCGCAGTTCACCTTATCCGAGTTGATGATATCCTTTTTGTTGATGGTGCCCGTGTTCTCTGACTCCACACCACCCAGCTCCAGAATGTCCCGCACGTCTGCGCCCGTCGCCATCTCTCCTGCTGCTCAGTGGCCTTCTCTGCCCCCGTCCTGTCCGTTCCCTCCGGCTCTGGGGAGGGTAAACCAGGGTACCAGGGTTAACATGCACCTCTCATGAGTACTATCCTGTACATGCACACACATGCTTATGTGCACACATATAACACACAGCATACATATATGTATATATATGTATATACATACATACAACATATTGCCCAGAGAAGCTGGGGATGCCCCATCCCTGGCAGTGTTCAAGGCCAGGTTGGACAGGGCTTGGAGCAACCCAGTCTAGGAGAAAGCATCCCTGCCCATGGCAGGGGGTTGGAAACTAGATAATCTTTATAAAAGGTCCCTTCCAACCCAAACCATTCTATGATTCTATGATCATAAAAGTTGGAAAAGACCTTTAAAACCATCAAGTCTAAACGTTATCCCAGCACTGCCAAGTCCACCACTAACCTATGTCACTAAGGGCCTCATCTACACGGTTTTTGAACGTTTTCGAGGATCGTCATTCCATCACTTTCCTAGGAATCCTGATATATACACATATATATACATACATACATACATATATACACATATACGCACATATACACATATACGCACGCATATATATACATACACACACACACGTATATCCACATATACACACACCCCCCTCAGCCGCCTCCCCATCCCCCGCCAGGCCCAACAACGGGGCCTTGTACCCGGCCGGTCCCGAGGACCAGACGCGCCGCGCCTGCGGCCCGGAGCGCAGCGGCGGGGTCCCGGAAAGCCCACAGACGGACGTACGGGACGAGGCCGGGCCGCAGGGCCGCCGCAGCCACGAGCAAACCCGCTCCCGCGCTCACCCACCGGCGCCGGATCCGCAGCCACCGGGACGGTGCGACCGGCACAGCGGCCCGGGCAGCGCCGCTTCCGCTCCCGCCAAGCTGCGCCGGAAGTGCCCGGAGCCCTTTGGGCGCCCCACCATAGAGCTGGAGGAGCAAGGTGCGAGGGGCAAGGGTTACGGGTTCGCGCCCCGCTCCCGGCAGATCGCGGCCGCCCCGGGCCCGGAGCCGCCTCCCCTGCTGCCCGGCGGCAGCGCCCGGACCCGCTCGGGGCCGACCTACGTCGTTCCCTGGTCGGGGCGGAAAGGTTGGCGCAGGCGGGACTCGCTCCCGCGCCAGGAGGTGGCAGCACAGCCGTGCGCGGCCCAGCCCCGACCGGTATCTCGGAGCTGGGTCCGGGGCTGCTCCGCACCTCAGCCCGATCCTTACGCGGGAGCTGAGGCCTGCGGGACGTGCGGGGCCTCCGGGGAGCTGTCCCCAGCTGCCGGAGGGGACAAGGCAACGGTGCCTGCTTCCCCGGGGCCGTGGTGACGGGTGACTGGGCTCTGCTTTGGGCAGGCACAGCGGGGTTGTGGGGCAGGGCAGGGGCAAGAAAACCATCCCGAAGGGCTCCAGAGCTGCAGCACTTACCTGAGGCTGTGACAGCTAGGAGCAAAAGTTTTATTAATATGATTCAATAGGACTATCCTGTTTCCTCTTCCCTATGAGAGGAAAGAGAGGGGGGGGGGGGGGGATGGAGAAGGAACAGCAGAGTGGGGCCAGGAGGGACTTGTAGAAATCCCACTGAACTGCAGCAGGCACAAGATTGCCTGGCAGAGGTTTGTCCAAAGCAGAAGGTTTCAGCATGGGGCACAGAGATCTACTGCCAGACACCTCGGATAGCCCGGGAGAGGGATGGACCTGGGGGGACCTCTTCTGTGCAGTAGCCCACAGATGAGGTGAACTTCACTGTGCTGGGGTGATTCCAGCACGCAGCCCCCCAAAGCCAGGCAGGCTGTGCTGGAGTTGTTGCCATTCCCACCCCACTGGTGATCCCTTCCCACAGGGGCATCTGTACCAGGGCCAAGCCAGTGCCATTGTGCCCCAACAGGAACACAAGAATGTCATCTGTTGTCCCTAGGAATCATCTAACTCCTTTTTTGTCCCACACTGCCAGGGATGGCTTTAAGAATCATCATCCTTCCTCCCAGCTTACCCAGGGTTTCTCCTGTCCTGTCCAGTTGCTCTCAGCTCTGCCATGTCCACCCAGGCCCTCCCCCCATCAATGTGCCCATTCCTAATCGTTTCCAACATCTTTCTTTCCTCTCTTTCAATTGCTGGCTTGGAGGTGGAGTCCCTACAAAGTGATCCCCTACAAGGTGGGTCTGCAGAGGGAAGCAGGATAGGGTCTTCCCAAGCTGCCTCCCTTCACCTTTGCAGTCTCACCCCTGCCTGGAACACCCAGCACTGCTGCTGCAGGGAGAGCTTTGTAAGACCAGGGAACAAAGACCTCCCATTTGCCCCTCGCTGGCAGGTCGTTCACAGTCCATTCATGTCTTTAAACAGCACTTGTAGGAAACACAATGAGTCCCAGAATAAAACTCAGAGATGAGTGGTCATTCAGTGTCCTTGGGGTTTGATTGTATCTCCCATTTCTAGGCCAGAGCTGCTCAAGCCCAGCTCCAACCCCAGTCCCAGCAAGACTCAGCCCATGCTCTGCTGGGTGATCAGCTCACTCAGCTTCAGCAAATGAAGTCCACAGCACGTCTGAGCTCCTTTCCACAGGATAGCAGCTTTTTAATCTCATGAAAGGTGGAGATGGTGGGCAGCTGGGTAGTGTTACCCACAGCCCACCTACCCCACAGCTCTGTGAGCACGGGTGTCACTTCAAGGCTGTGTCCTACCAGGAGCTGTGTGGACCTGCAAGTGAAACACATGAGCTGAGTGCTTCTGCTAACCTGATCAGCAGTGGAGCAATTAACACTGCCTTCAAAGGGACACAGAGATGTTGTTTCTGGGCAGCAGTGGCTGTTTGCAGAGCCTTCAAGGGGCAAAGGGGCACAGCTGGAGACTCTGGTCAGAAAGTCCTGCATGGGGACACATGCCATGGCCTGTACCTCCCCCAAGCACTGGGGTCCTGCCTTGACAGAGCACAGGGAGAACCCAGGGAATGCAGCAGGTCAGCGAAAGCCAGCAATGCTGGGAAGCCCAGTCCTTTTCATCCCAGGTAAGGGGACAGCAACAGCCAGCATTGTTGTCCTGCAACCCATCACCCACCTCCTGCCATCCTGCAGGCACAGGGTGCCAAACCTGGGTGTTCCCACTGCTGCTGAGCAGCTCGGGGAGGGATGTCCCTCCACATTCAGCCATGGCAGGACAGCAGTGCTGGCCCCTTCCACCCCAGGGAAGGATGCACCTCATGCCCTTTGCCCATGTCACAGCTGCCAGGCATAGCCAAAGGTGGCCCCAGGCCAGAGGTGTGCGTGCCTCCAGCCCAGGGCTCAAGGCATGAGTGTCTCCCAGCCTGGCACCAGCGGAGGAGGACAAGTGCAAACACTGTGGCCAGTGGGGTGGGAGGAGGTTATCTGGGGCCCAGCAGTGGAAAAACGCTTGGTGTGTGACTAAGGCACAATAGCAGCAGGTGTGGGTCCAGGCAGGGCGAGCGAGCCGGAGAGTTATCGCTTCCCCGTGGGTTCAGGTGCCTGAAGCCAAATGTTTCCTAAAGGTGCGGTGACAGCCACAGCCCCGTTATCACGGCACCTGGCCCACCCCAAGCAGCGGAGGCAGGCTGCTGGACCTTCCCTTCATGGCAGGGATCAGACACTTACCACTGCCCCATTGGGAATGGGGACGCCAGCCCTGGGAGCATCCTTCAGCAGGGACACCTTGGCTGTAGAGAGCCAAGATCTCACCTTGTGTTGTGGTGAGGAAAGGTCTGTGTCCAGCCCTCCAAGCACCCCCAAAGCATCCCTCCCACCCTGGAGCACCCAGGCTGCATCTCACCTTCAGCACCATGTTGTCCCTATGGACCACAGTAACCCCAGGGTAAAGCCCTGCGCAAGGAACCCTCCCAGGCCTACACCCCCCTTCTCCCCACATCTCTGCAACCCTGGACCACCACTGTTGGACCTGTTGGCTGTAGCATGGGGGATCCCCACAAGCTGTGCCATACACAGAGCTTAGAAACCCACCCAAGCTACTCCTTCACCCTCCTCCACCTACAAAACCCCCGGGGGCCCTGCTCCTGCTGGCAGGTGACTACATGGTGCCAGGCCTGCTGCGGCCGTGACTCACCTCACTGCTGGGAGGTGTTTCTCCATGCCTCACTGTGCCGGTTCGGCTGCACCCCAAAACCATGGTGCTGCACCTTAAGGTTTGCAGGAGGGGATTAGAGACCCCTGCATCACCCACCACCATGGCTCCCATGGTCAACCAAGAAGGTGACCAAGGGGAGAAAGGAAGGGGAGGTATGGCCAGGCAAAGGGCTTTCAGCTGACCATGGGCAAACGTACCATAGGCAGGGATTACACGCCAGCCCTCCTTTCCTCCATGTTGCTGATGGTGTTTTCTTGCTGTCCTCGTCACTTTGCAGGGCAGGTTTTGCTGAGGACAGGACTGAGCTCTCTCCCCCAGCGGGGAGCACGCCTTGGCCCAGGCGATTGGAAGAGAGTGTTTTTTATTAACAACAAATTAACCATAATTGCCTTTTCCACTACAGCCGCTCCTCCTCCCCCAGGTGAGGTTCCCAGCCATGCCAGTCCATGCCACCGCCATGCTCCATCGTGTGCCCGAAGGAGTGCCCTGCCCCAGGCCTTGGGAAGTGAACACGGAGCAGCTCTGCCTGGAGAAGGAGCCAAGGCACCTTCCCCTGTGCTCGCCTCCATGTAAGGTAGCGGCAGCAGAGCCGGACCTCGCTCCCGCCCTAGTGCAGCGATGATGAAAGGCAAGGAAGAACTGGTTTGTGCTCTGATCTCAGAGCCGAACCTCAAAACAGCCGCGGACCGTCAGTCCAGCTCCCAGGATGCTTAGGGAGGACAGGACAGCAGAGCCAGCCTTTCCAGTGGGACAGGATGGTTGGAGAAATTCATCGTTCCCCTGGAAATAAAAATAATAATCATAATAAAAGCACAAAGCCAGAGATTACTTATACGCACACAAACACGCAGGCACGCACTCTCCCCATCTGGCTTTGCCAGCCTGACTCATCGCTAATTCAAACAGCCCACACCTTTCCCTCTCCCTCCATGTGACATTTTGAACAAGTCTCTGGGGAAGAGGCAGCAGTTTTGCTTCAGCCACCCCTCACCATCAGACCCTTGCCCTTAGGTACCAGGGGTCCCAGGAGTGAGAAACCCAACACAGCTCACTGGTGTCCCAGCATGGTCACCCCACACAGGCACCTCACAGAAAGTGGGGCACTCAGTGGGTGGAGGCAGCTGTGGAAAGGACAAGTGATTGAGCTTGGTGGATCCATGACACCTGTGTCCCATGCCCAGGCCTGCAGGGAGAGCACAACATCCCAAGCCGCTGCCACCCTGCCTAGAGACACCTAGACTTTTGTACCTGCTTGGGGCAGACCCCAAGGCTGGATGCTGGCCCAGGGACACTGAGACCAATCCCAAAACACTAGCCACCCCTCAAGGGGACATCAGCCCTAGTCTACTGCTCAGTTCAACTCTCCACAGCTGCAGGCAGGAAAACAGGGAAGGACTAGGATCAGCCCAGCTCATGCTGGCAGCACAGCTACATCCCATATCCGCTTGCGGGGCAAGGAGCCCCAGGGCATCCCCCAGCCCTGGTCAGCCACCAGGGGTTGTGGCAGTGAGCACAGGAGGAGGAAGCCACTAACACCCTGGGCCAGGGCACTGCACAGCCCTCACGGCACGCTCCCTGCACTGCCAGCATGGTGTCAGGTCCAGACAAGCCCCTGGCTTCAGGAGGATGCGTGCATCACGGGTAATCAGCTGTGGGAGGGAGGGATGGAGCCAGACCTGCTTGCTGAGCTCGGGACCTGCCAGCACGCTTGTGCTGAGTCACCACCTATGAACGCAGGGAAACCTCAGCACCTGAACCCCATCGAGCTACTGGGACACCCCAGGAGGGCAGCAGGAACAGGACCGGGCAGCCACCAACAACCTCCTGGTTGTGACCACAAGGCCTGCGCTATAGAGCTTCTGCTGCGGGGGACAGCGGGACAGGAGCGCTTGGGAAGACAACAGGAGCAGCAAGGCTCCCGGCACAGTTTCGGCTACCGTTCCCTTTAGGAATGACTCACCGCAGGACCAGTCACGCCATCCCGGTGCCGCAATTGCCCCATCTGCAGATTAGGGAAACTGAGGCACAGGGAAGTGGGGTGACTCAAGAGCTGTTGCACAGGAGATGCTGCTCAGATGCCGAGGCTTGGGCGTTCCCCATCGATCCTCCACAGCTAACTTAAGCAGAAATGAACATCAATGTAAATATTTACTGACAAGCAAGCCCAGCCTCACCCTCTCGTCTTAGAAGAAAGCTTTAAAGTAAACTCTCCTGGCTCTTTCATGTTTACATCTTGTTTATTTATTATACAGCAGATCACAATATTTCAACAGTTTGCATATAAAGAAAAGTAACATTTCAGAGTGCGAGAGACCTAACGTGCCCAAGCAAAGAAATGTTAATTAACAATATACACAGACGGGAACAGTGCACTTCCCAAAGCCGAGACTCATCTGGGTTCCCAGCTGGAAGAAAAAATATATTAAAAAACAGAAACATTATATATTACTGCTTTGTTTAATTTACAACTTGCTTTGCAGAAGCTGCACATAAAAAGACTCATTTTCTTTTGAGTTTTCTCTTTGGTTTTCTTCTATGAAAGTTTCAAGTATAGCAGAGACCTGGGCATTCATAGCTGGACTCATTGTCCTTTACACACTAAGTTTAAAAAAGCAGCATGGGGAAGGCAGCTGCAGCAGTACCTGGTGTCATCCTGAGGCGAAGAACAAGACAAATGGAAGCAGACAAGAGCCCAAAGAGCCGTTTTAGGCTCATGGGAATGGCCAGGACCAGACTGCCCGGCAGGGTCCCAGGCTGGCAACAGGAGCATCCCCACTCCCTGTACAAGGTGATGCTGCACTGCCAACCCCTGCAAACCTTTGTAGCCATGAGCCAGTCAGGTGCCATCCTGACCCCATCCATGCTGGGCTTTTGGGTCAGGAGGTTTGTTCTGATGGCCTCAACCGAGAAGACCAGCAACCCACTTCCCAGCGCTGCAACCTGTACACCCTGTGGGCACAGGTCTCTGGCCAAAACCAGGCCAGAGTCAGCTACCCCAGTGCCTGGAGCCAGGAAGAGCTAGGATTTAAGGGGAGAAGGTTAAGCTGATGCCAAATACAAGCCAGGAGCTCTGGAAACAGATCCCTGCTGAACCAGCCCCCCCCCCCCCCTCTTACCAGATACCTGGCTGAGAAGGGGGGGATCCTCCAAGCACTGGGAGCTGAGTGGTGATAGGGCAGGGGCTAGAGACATTCCTTGCAGCTTTACTCCCCATTTACACCCCAAAGCAGCCATTCCCCACCATGCAGCTGGGCCCAGTTCTCACAGCAGGGGCAGGAGGAGAAAACTAGTTAACAACTACAAGCAGAGATAGCCAGGCTGCTCCCCAGTGCCATCCCCTGCCTGACGCTATTTACACCATGAGCTGGCTCTGGGGACACAGAATCCGGCCACAGCTCCCGCTCACATGTGCCGCTTCATGTGGAGGGCGAGGTGGTCGGAACGGGAGAAAGCCCGCTCGCAGAGGTGGCACTGGAAGGGCCGGTGCCCTGTGTGCTTGCGGTAGTGGCGGGTCAGCTCATCGGAGCGGGCAAACTTCCAGCCGCAGCCTTCCCAGGTGCAGTGGTAGGGCTTCTCGCCTGTGGAGAATGGGCATCAGTGGGCTTGGAGGTCTTCATCCTCCCTATACTTTCACCCCTGTGCTACTCTGCCCAGCACCCCCTCCTTTCAAGGGGAACCCTGACCCCCACCCTTAGTAGAGGGGAGCCCTGTGATGTACTCACCCCTGTCTGCCCCACCTTTCTTTTGTCCCCCATCTTCCTGCTCTTCCCCCATGTGCTCTGCTGCCCATGTGCCCTGCGTGAGACCCATCCTTTGGAACCTTTGCCCCCTTGCAGGGCCCCTCCACGTGCCCCCACCCCACCACAAACTATAAGTGCTCCCCTGCTTTTTCATACTGTGGGGATTCATCATGTGCTCTACCCCAGCTTTGCCACAGGGGTCTTACTATACAACCCCATTCTCCCCTACTCTGCTCACCCCCATCTAGGGTGGGGGGCTTCTCCTTGTGGCCCCAGGCCCTGCTTCTTCAGGCTCCACTGGGCCCCAAAGCCAGCAAGCAGGGGTGTCACATGGGTCCTCTGTATCCCTGCCCAGCCCCACCATGGGGGTCCTTCTGAGCACCCGAAGTGAGTGCAAGTGGACATCACCACTTGCACCCTGTCCCCCACAGAGCCCTATGCCGGCTACAGGGGGGCCTCTCTGAGTGCCCCCACTAAGGGGACCCTCCATGCACCCCAAACTGACCAGGGGGTCAACGAGCACCCAGCACCCCCAGGAATGACACAGGTCTCACTGTGTATCCCGGTCCTCCCACCTGGGACTCTTTGCTTAACTTCCAAGCGTGGCCGCCCCCCCTTAGCTCCCCCGACATGCCCTTACCTGTGTGGGTCCGCATGTGCGCCTTGAGGTGGGAGCTCTTAGTGTAGGTCTTGCCGCAGCCCGGGTATTCACAGTTGTGCGTGGCCGTCCGCTTGCGGGCCCACGAGCGGCGGCCGCGCTTGGGCTTGCAGTCCTCGGGGGGAGCCCCGGCCGGGAAGTACTCCAGCACCGGGGAGTTGGGCGGCGTGACCAGCAGCCCGGGCAGCCCCGCCGGACCCGGCCCCGGCCCCTTCAAGGGCTCCCTGAAAACACTGAAGTGTCCATGAAACTGCGGCGGCGGCTGGGGGGCGAAGTGGGGCGCATAGCGATGCGGGGCCATGGCGTAGTGAGGCGGCAGGTCGGCCAGGAGGTGCGGGTCGGTCCCGGGCAGCGGCTCCTCGGGGGGGCCCAGGCGGCCGTGAGCGAAGCCCGGGTAAGGCAGCGGCGGCCCCGGCACCGGTCCCGGCCCGGGACCTGGTGCTACGCGTGGCTTATGCTCGCCGCCGCCCGGCCCCAGGTACTCGGCGGCGGGCACCCCTAGCATGCAGGCGCGCTCCTCTGGCTGCTCTTTCTTGATGCGGGGCCCGAAGGGCTGAGCGGGGTCCAGGGGCAGCGGACGGGCCATAGCTGGGTGGAGAGGTGGGTGGTGGTGCGCGGGGTGGTGAGGGTGATGGGGGCCCCCGGACACCCGCAGCTCCGTGTACTCTCTCCGTTGCAGATCGCAGTGGCCGGGCAGATCCGGGGTGAGCAGCTCAGCCACGTAGCTGTGGCCCTGGCCCTCGGGGTAAGGCGCCGGGAATTTGCCCGGCGTGGGGTAGGCGCCGTCGCTGTCGTAGGTGGTGCCGCAGCTCTCAGGGGTCTCGGGCAGGGGGTAGTTGGGGCCGGGCGGCCCCTGCGCGCCACTGCTTGTATGAGCCAGGATGAAATCCAAATCCACGAACTTGCCCAAGTCGTCCTCCTCCCGCTTGACGGCGGCGGTGCCGTCCTGCTGCAGCATCCTCTGTGGGGAAGAGGGGTGTCAGGACCGCCGAGAAGATAGCGACCGCCGTTCAGACCCTGCGATCCGTGCCTCCCGCTCGGGGCGGCGGCTCCCCCCAACCCGTCCGACGGGTCGGCACCGCTCCGGCTGCGCCACCCCCAGGACGCCCTCCGACGGTGGGAGGGGGCCTCCCCTACCGGCCAGGCTGCACCCCATCACGGGACGCTTTGCTCCATGCCCCGTACCCCCCACCGCCCCTTCCTCACTACCAGGTGCTTACATGGAGCATGTCGGCGGGCCGCTCCTCCAGCGGCAGCAAGTTGGCGAAAGTAGAGATTGAGGGCAAAGTGCTCTCATCCACGGCCGCCGCCATGGCGGGCCGGGCGCGGGGGACCAGAACGGAGCCCGGCACCGCTCCGCTCCCCGCGGCGGCGGCAGCGCTGCTCTGCGCCACCCCGAGCCCCTAAGCTGTTAACAGCATGGCTGCGCGCCCATTGGCCCGGCCTGCATTGATATTCACCGCCGACGCCTTCCATTGGTTCCGCTGGTGCTAGAGCCACGCCCCCTCTCTGGGGGCTGCCCCGGCGGACGGGGGTCGGCGGCTGCCCCAGCCCCAGCGGTGCTTCGCGGCCCGCATGGTCCCGCGGCCCGGCCGAGGCAACGTGGCTGGGGTTCCCTCGCACTGCTCCACGCCGGGACCATGGCGTGCGTAGTTGGGTCCAACCCGTGCCCTGCCCAACGGCTGGAGTTAGGGGCAGGGGTGCTAGTGCGGATCGGAAAGCCCAGGGTGTCTGCTGCCCGTCCCCGTTCCGTAGTGGGGTCAGCGGCTCCGTGACACTGCCCCACGCTGCGAGCGGAGAGAGGGGTTGTAGAGCGCAGAGGCGGTGGTCCCCCGGGATGCTGCCTCACTTGGGACAGGGCCAGTGGCTGTGGCGTATGCCAGTGTGTGTGGGTCCGAGTGGGAACATGCCGGGGAGAGCTGGTGTGGGGCTACAGCCGAGCGCAGCGCTCGCCATAGGGGACATCAAGCCCATCAGCACGCAAAGGTGCTGCCGGGGAGCCAGGCGGGGGTGGCTGAGCTCGGTGCCCCCACACCACTCACTTCATGTAACAGGGCCCGTGAGGCCGCGTCCTCCCCATGCCTGCGCTGTCGGTGAGGCAATCAGCAGCACAGAGCACACCGGCTCCCATCTGGCCGTATGCAGGGTGCGTGTGTGAGCAGAGATAACTGCCCAGCGGACCCTGCCGGGGACTGGCACCCTGCCTGCCTTGCCTCATCTCGCCCCACAGCCCCTGCAGGACGTTTGTCTGCTCTGCCTGGGGACTGGCACCATGGCTAAGCCTTGGCTGTCCTACCATGGCAGCACGGGCTGGCTGCCTGACCCTGCCCACCCCATGGAGCCCCTGGGACAGTGCTATCCACCCAAGGGCTTCCGCAGTGGAGGATGCAAGGGGATCAGGATGTCACACCTCACAGGAGACATTTTTAGGTGCTCTATTCCATGCTGGCATGTCAAGACATGGAACGGAGACTCAGGGCGCTGTGCAGGCCTCCCGGGGTCTCTCTTGCCACCCTGTCTAGCTCACAGCAAGACCTCCGCTTGGCCCCCATCCACCCGGTACCAGGAATGGCCCTGCTACTGTTGCGTTTGTCAAGAAGCAATGGCCCTTATCTCCTGGAGCCTGTCTCCTTGCTTTCTGGGGCTTTTCATCCCTAGATACCTTTCT